AGCAAAGCGAAAATTAATTACAATGAAGTTAAATATCTGTGCACTGAGCTGGGCGTGGAGCCGGGTGGCAGTGGTGAAGCCTATCTGCCGGATCATGCGACGGCGGCCCTGCAGGGCATGTGGTCTCCGTGGAGCTTCTGCCTCCCCCGCTGGTCGTCTCCCCAGTCCATATGCACTTGATGTTATGTTTTTATAGTTTAAATCAGTTGATTTGTGGGAGAGAGTGATGCTAGGGACCGTCTATTCTGCCATCTTGACCCGAAGTCCTAACAAGAACTCTTAAACACCGGTCTCAAATAACTTTAAGATCAATGGATGGAATAAAGGTTTTCCAGAACTCTAATAAGAAATCTGATGGGGTTATAAAACTGCTGATTAAAATAAAGCAAAGCGAAAATTAATTACAATGAAGTTAAATATCTGATAAAGAGAATGATTTGTAACTGTCACTCTTGGTTCTTTACTTAAATGTTTTGTTTTCCAGATTTAAGGAGAACTTCTTTCTTATACTTTGTGTAACTTACAGCAATTTGGTAAAATGTACTTTTAGGAAAAAGAAGCATTTGCTTTCTCCTATTTCATTGCTCCAAAATTTGAAAACTATTTGTGAGTATCCTTCTGATTTTTATGGTGATACGGTTGTTTGCATAAGTGCAATAAGAATTTGCTCTCTCTGTATATAACAGGATACAATTGGAAAGGTTGATTATAAAATAGCATATCTCTTCTAACTTCCTGACCTCACTTTGTGTTGCCCTAATTTGGCCTAACTGCTGTTTCACCTTCCCCCCAACATGGGGCATGTCTACCTGGGAATGAGTCTTTCCAGCACTGAGGCATCCATACAAAGATAAGTGAAAGCTTTTCAATCAGGAAATTGATCTTCAATGCTTCCATGAGGAATGCTTTGATCGACAAGGGGGAAATGATATCTTGTCTACACAAGCAGTTCTCTAAAGTTTCATAAACTTGAAGGAGGAGCCTCATGAGTTGGATGAGACATCCTGTTCCTAAACAAAGGATTCATGTAAGTTCTTAAAATTCTTGACATACCAATTAATGTATAGCTTGCTAACTCTGAGTAAGCCACCTGTTGTCAATCAACTGTTAAGACAATAGATAAACAAATGCCCCTGATCCCCCATGCCACTCCAGCTGGGTACCAAACGCTATGTCCTCCATCACGTCAAATAGTTCCATTCTACATTAAGCCCTACTATGCCCCAAAACAGCTCGAAGCAGTAAGATGAGTTGGGGCCCATTCCCCACTGACAGAAATAGAAGGAACTACTGACAGTGAGGAAGTTGTTGGAAGTGAGCAGGACTGATGCCATGTTGGGACCTTATACCACCTGGGCTGCAAGGCGGGGGCAAGGGACAGGGATTTTAAAAAGGACAGTATTTCTTTCTCTCCACTCTTTCTTATCTTGCTTGCTAAATTGTTCTCCAGTTAATCAGTGCTTTCAAAGCTAACAGTTCTTTGAGACTTGTATAGTTTTGAGAAGTGATCTAGGCCAAATGACTGGAAGCTGACTCTGGGCACCAGCCAAGTCAAACAGAGCTCTGTGAAGTGAAACTCTGCAAGACTGCAGAAAAGATGATTCTACACTGGAACAAACCAATATCTTGCAGGGTCCTGAGATAATAGTGAAGATGAGAACAGAAACCAGAGGCGGCCTTGGCAAGACCTTGTACCTGACTCACAGACACGGACCCCTCATACCACACGTCTCCTTCTCCCCTGCTCTTCTCCTCCCCCGTTCGATTCCCTCAACCCCTCCTTTAAAAACCCGCAGTAGGGCCGGCCCGGTGGCGCACTTGCTAGAGTGTGGCGGCGCTCCTGCCAAGGGTTCGGATCCCATATAGAGACCGGTCCACTCACTGGTTGAGCGCGGTGCGGACGCGACACCGAGGGTTGCGATCCTGTTGCCGGTCGCGGTACAGGCGCGACACTGAGAGTTGCGATCCCGTTACCGGTCACGAAAAAAAGACAAAAAGGAAAAAAAAAAAAAGAAAAAACCCACAGTAAATCTAAGTCTTGGAGACGGTACAGCCTACCATCTCCTTCAGCTGAATACATCTGCTTTTCTAACACCAACCATTTGACTTCTGAGCCTTTTTTTCCTTCTGAAGCAGGTAGGAGCCATACCTCAGTTTGGTACCAGCTTTATTTCTGAAACACTGCTCAGTTCTCTGACAAAATAACTTGGGTAATGTGTCACAACATTTCTGCTGGGGAAAAAAAATGGAAAAAACCTTCTGTCATTAAAGATTAATTGCTTTGTTTGCTGCCTCAAAGTGAGAGCACTGACCTAGTTTCTCCTTGGTCTAATCAGTTACCTAATTAGGGTAAAAAGCAAGAGAGTTAAAAATAATTTCATATGCATTCTGGGTGACAGGTCCTAGTTAAATTGGAAGAAGAATGCTGTTTCAGGGCATAGTAGGGCTTAATCCTTAATCTAGAAGTCTAGACTAAAAAGGGTAAATTAACACCTTACTAAAAGAGACTGAAAAAGCAATCCTGTCTTATCCCAATTTAAACACTGTGTGGCACTGGTGTTTTGCGACAATGTGAAAACAGCTCTTTTTTTCTTCAGATTGTATTTCTCATTACAGACACTGAAACTGCATATTGCACTACTGAGAGACTATTTAATAATTTACTAAGTACTATTACAGCAAGATATCTGAACTGGTAGATGAGCAGGTGAAATTCAACTCATTAATTCGAAAAGGATGTACGCAGTAATATAAATAAAAATAAGATGTAAATACCAATTTAAAACTACCAAAAAGAAAGCTTACGGGGAAAAAAAACATGCTAACTCAAAATAAAATTACAGGCACCAGTGACACTGACAAGCAACCAGACAGCCTGGCTGAGGTGATTCAGGTTTCACTCCTGGCTCTGCTCTAGGTGTGTTGCCTCTGACAAGTCACCGAACCCCTGAGTATCAGCATTTCTCATCTGCAGGGTAGAAGAGGCCAGACTGTCAATTCGGCCCCCGCAATACTCTAATAATTTCTAAAGGTCAGGGACCACATGGACACTTGTATTAAAGCAACAGAAATAAAACTGAGATTTTATAATGTCCAATAATTAACATTTGTTACCTACATTCTTACTCTCAAGAACTACATTCAGAAGCCACAAACTACCCTCAACTTTCTATTTTAAAAATTTCAACGTTTTTAGAAATACATAGAAATCCTGCTTCAACCTGCGGCTTCCCACTGAGAATAGCGCTTCCCCACAGATCTCAGATCTGAAGCTGCTCGTTCTCTCACACCCTAAGAGACCTCCGGGGCCTCAAGGACGGCAGTGTCCCCCATGTCTAGTGCTGCTTCCAGCTTCTACCCTCTCCTTGTTGTCATCTATGAACTCTGGTCACAACCCCAGTCACTAAAGACATACCACCTGACTCCCTCCCAGACCTGCCTTCAATGTGGATGACTTCACCACCCACAGGCTAGCCTTTCAGTTTCTTGGCTTCCTCGTCTCCAGGCTAATTCAGGCTCGCTGCAGGGCCCAACTTGGGACCACATCACCTAGATATGTTCTACCCCTGAAATTTTAAATTCAAATATTCTACTTCTTTTTTTTTTCCTTTTTGTCTTTTTACTGACCGGTAACGGGATCACAACCCTCGGTGTCGCACCCGTACCGGGGACTGGCAACGGGATCACAACCCTCGGTGTTGCGTCCACACCGCGCTCAGCCAGTGAGCAGGAACCGGTCTCCACATGGGATCCGAACCCTCGGCGGGAGCGCCACCGGGCCGGCCCCAAATATTCTACTTCTGACCACAATCTCCTTTCCATCTGCCTGTCTCATTTCCTCTCACTGCACCTGTCTGCTAATCTGAGTCCTGAGGCCTCTTAACTGTCTGCTCTCTCCCCCCACAGCCTCTCTTATCTTCACTTCTTCCCCACCCAGCATAGATGTTACCTTGCCAACATCCTCCTCTCCCTTGTCCCACTGACCTTCCATTGAATTTCTCTGGCAACCTTGGGTGAATCCAACTGTTTTCTCCTCCTCTTACAACCAGCCTGGGCTGCAGAATACTGGAGAAAAATCGCACAAGGTCTCATGGCCTCAACCTCAACTGGCCCCAATCTGGCTTCCCTAAACAAGCACTTTCTCCTATTCTCCACAACAGCTCAAACTTCCAATCCACCCCATCATAATCACTTTCAGATGACTTTGCCTCCTGTATTAGTTCGTTTCTGTTGCTTATAGCAGAATACCTGAAACTGGGTAATTTATAAAGAAATGAAATTTATTTCTTTCAGTTTTTAGAGGCTGAGAAGTCCAGGGAATGAAGTCCTAGCGAGGGCCTTCTACAGTAATGCAGGGTATCACATGGCAAACGGGCTAAGCAAGAGAGCTAACCTCTTCGCTTGCTCTCTTTTTAAAACCATCAGAACCACACCCATAACCACCCTCTAAACACTACATTGTAATGTAGATTAAGTTTCCAATATATGAACATTTGGGGGAAACATATATTTAATCCATAGCACCCCCAACCTCAAAGAAAACAAATGTTTTCAGATGAGAATTCCCTCGATTTGCTCCAGTAAAATGTACAAATTTAACAGCATCTGCCACAGTTTTCTTTCTGTCCTGTTACAATGGAAGAGGGATCCTTCCTCTTGTCTAAGAGGAGTATATCCATTAGGGCTGTAGAAGCACCTTCCCAAGGGCTCCTACCCTATCAAGTGTTCCCTCTCTTTCTTATACTTTCAAGCTGCTGCTCTATTGGCTCCTTGCCAGTTGCATTAAAAAAAACTATATTCAAACTTCTCCCATTTGCAAACAAAACCATACCCTTTTCTCTCCTCACTGTCAGGTCTGAGAATAGTGGTCTATTTCCACAATTTCAACTTCCAGACCTTTCATTCACCTGTCAAAGTCCTTGGCTCCTCATCATGTGCCTCCTACTACTCCCAGCTAATCCAATGCACAAAATAAAGTTCAAATCACAGAGTACTCCTACCAGTGTCCCTAGTGCCGGGAGGGCGTTCATGACGAAGGAAGAAACGAACTTCATTCCTCTGACTTCCAAATCGCTGAAGAACATCAAACATTCGCTCATTATCAGCAACTGGACGTTCTAAAAGAAATGAGTAGAAATCACATTATCTCCAGGTAAAAAAAACGATGGACATACCATTTACCATCTGTCCTTCATGCAAATTATGCACTACGGATGTAGAAAATATTCATCTTAGGTCATTTTTTTTTTTCATTAAAAGAACTCTTAGAAAGTGAAGTACCACAAATTTGCCACACATACAATCAGTGTTAACCAAGGAGGAGTGTTAGAAAGAGGAATAGATCTAGGTCAGCTGTCAGAAGCTCAAGCGTCTAATTCATTGGGATCCTTGCTAGCCACAGGCATGCCATTTAACTTCAGTGGGTTCCAAAAGTTTCTGTAATCTATTAGATCAGATGGTTCCTTCTAACACTAGTTTTCTGTGATTCTCTAAATATACAAAAAAAAAAAATTAAAAAACAACTTTCTAGATAGCCTTATTTTTTATTAGTTTTTAATATAGGCTATTTTTTAAATTATAATTTTACCAAAAAAATGTTTAAGAAAATCAGACTTATCCATTTCCAAATAAAAAGCTACTTACTGCAGTGAAAATGTATCTATCTGGCCCCTCTTCCAACAAGACTACTAGTTGTCAGAACTTTTCTGGGCACAAAAAGAAAGGTACAGATAAATACCCCAGTAAAAATGGGAGCTTCAGGAAAAATAATGTATCTCAAGCTCTCCTCAAAAAATCTTCCAATCTCGGGCCGGCCCAGTGGCGTACTGTTACAGTGCGGCGCTCCTGCCGAGGGTTCAGATCCCACGTACAGACCAGCCGCTCACTGGCTGAGCGAGGTGCGGGCGCACACTGTTACAGTGCGCCGCTTGGGAGCGCAGCGGCGCTCCTGCCGAGGGTTCAGATCCCACGTACAGACCGGCCGCTCACTGGCTGAGCGAGGTGCAGGCGCAACACTGAGGGTTGCGATCCGTTGCCGGTCACGAGAAAAGACAAATAGGAAAAAAAAAAAATCTTTCAATCTCAAGGGATCTAGATATAAAAACCAAACATACTGTTTGAGGAGGCAACTGAATAAAATCAAAGAACCACCAGTAATGTCAATATAATTTTTAAATATAAGAATGTTGAAATAGCCTAAGAAAACTCAACACACTTATCAGTAATAGAAGACACTTTCTCAATACCCTAAATAAACAACATGGCAGATAACGGAGCAGCCAGTTCTGTGAACTGACCCTGAACTTAATGCGCTTGGTCACAACAAATAAAGTGCAGTTCTGGCTCTAGTTCCCGTAACATACCACACTGCGTTGACACAGATAATCACTTCTATAAACCATACAAACTACAACTAAGACCCCCAAAAGCAAATAATCATAGCTGAGGAGACACCCTCCAAAAGAAATTCTCAGTAGACCCTCTACCCAAAATAGACACACACACACACACAGCTATACTTAAAAGAAATGAAGTAAAATCTCCAGGTTCCAGGAGCAGAGAGAACTCAAAGGAAGTGAATTAACTTTCTAGTCCACACTGGACTGCCCCCATGGGTATGGACCTTCTTCCAAGCTCGAGGTGCAAACGACCTAATGGCCCTAGGATAGTAAAAGATCAAGCCTGAGCCTGCACAAGCTGAAACAGACACTCCAAAGGCTCCCAAAGCTCCCCACCATCACCCTACGCTCCAACCACACCTGGCTCCTCACCATGGCATTCCTGCCTGTGTGACTTTGAACATGTCATTCCCTGCACTCATCATCTTCTCTGGTGCCCTCTCCTCCTTCTGCAGATGGAGCACATCCATCTATTACTGCAGCTGTCACACTGCGTTATAAATGTCTATTGATACTTGCTTCTCCTCCTGCACCGTAAGATACCTGACGGCAGGTAATTTTCACCTCTGTATCCCTTGCAACTGAGCACAATCCCTAGCACATAACAGGCCTCCACAAAATGTTCACTAAGCAAACACATGAGTGGGTAATGAGGAAATGGAAAAGGAAAAATGAAAAGGGAAAGAAGAGGGAAAAGAAAAGAAAAGAAAAGGCAAGACAACACTTTAACACTTAGAGAATGATATAACAGGAGAATATATTTACAGCTCTGAAGAAAGGACTTTTTAAAATAACACACAAATAGGCCTGAATCCAGAACAGAGTTTTTAAGTGCCTACAAATCAAGAGGGAAAGGTAAAAGTCAAAGCAAACATGAACAAAGGACATACAGAAACAACTAAAAAATTGAAAACCCACATAGCAACTAAACAAACAGGAAACCTCACCTGTAATAAGAAAAACGCAAATTTAAACAAAAGACAAGTTTTCAGCTATAAGTTCAGCAAAAATTAAAATATTATTATAATGGTTGATGAGGAATACTTTTAGAAATAACTGGATGGAGTATGAACTGATATGACCTTTGTGGAGGGAAATCTAGCAATATACATTACATTTTTAAATGTGTGAAACTTTATGTTAATTTGTTTCTCTATAGTACCCTTTCTACTATCTATATGTATCCCAGAACATCATGTTGCATACCTTAAACATACACAATAAAAATTAACTTTTTAAAAAAATGTTTGAACCTTTAACCAAGGAATTCCACTTCTTGGCATCCACCCTAGAGAAATGTGTGCACCCTAGAGAAAAGAGGCTCCTAACAGGATTTTTTATTACTGCAGTACTTATGAAGAGTAGAATTAATTTAAATGTTCGTGAATACAGAAATTGTTAGATCGACTGCAGTTTATGCATACTATGGAAAGTTACGTAATAGTTAAAAAGAATGGTATAGATTTACACATACTAATCTTTTTTTTTTTTTCTTTCCTTTTTTGTCTTTTTTTGTGACCGGTAACGGGATCGCAACCCTCAGTGTCGTGCCCGCACCACGCTCAACCAGTGAGCGGACCAGTCTCTATATGGGATCCCAACCCTCGGCGGGAGCGCCGCCACACTCCCAAGCGCCGCACTCTACCAAGTGTGCCACCGGGCCGGCCCTACACATACTAATCTGAAAAGATCTCCAAGCTATGTTGTAAGGTAAAAGAGTAAACTTCAGGACGTTGATTTGTGTCCTACTATTTATATAAAGAAATAGAGAAACAACCCACAAAACTATTTCTGTAGTTACTTATAAATGCAGGGAAGAAGTCTGAAAAGTTATCTACTAAAATCACAAGTGATTACTTCAAGGATCAGGGGATGGGCCTAAGGGAGCAACATGCATTTTGTTTTTATTATTTTGTTTTTTACAAACAAAAACTCATTCAGGTGTTATCTGTCATTAAAATTTTTTTAATTAAAATGTTGTAAGAAAAAGTCTTTTACGCATCACCATCACATAGTGAAAGTGACTGAAGTCACATGAGCAAGATACTAGAGAGGAAAGGGAATGGGTGAAATCGAGAGTCAAGGAAGAGAGCACAGCCTCAGCAGAGAGCACTTCTTCCTCTAAGATGATGAGAAGAAAGGACAGGCAACACAGAGTATCTGAGGTACACAGGAAGGAAACTAAGCAAGTTCACAAGGGATGGTTTCCATTAACACCAAGGCCGCAGGTTCGGATCCCATACAGGGAAGGCCGTTTGCTCGCTGGGTGAGCGTGGTGCTGACAACACCAAGTCAAGGGTTAGGATCCCCTTACCGGTCATCTTTAAAAACAACAACAACAACAAAAAAAAAAAAATGGTGCTGACAACACCAAGTCAAGGGTTAGGATCCCCTTACCGGTCATCTTTAAAAACAACAACAACAACAACAACAAAAAAGCAAGGGATGGTTTCCATGATCTCAGTAAAGAATAAAGCAAGGTAATTTGCTGAATGCAAGGACATTACCAGAAGCAGCTAGAAATTTGTTTACTCATTCACAGTAAATATTTATTGAGCACCTATTAGGCACCAGGCATTCCCCATGAGCTGGGGATACAGCAATGAAAAAGATAAACAAAGTCTCTCTCTCCACACTTAAGTAGTTTAGAATCTAGTGCGTGTGTTTGGGGTCCAAAGGGATTAAAGAGGCAAGAAACTAATCAACACACAAAATCAGAGAGTGACACGCATGCCACAGAGGTACAAATCTGGATGAAATAAACAAGAACTAACTTCATGGCTACTTTTAGCAGGTGCTCAGGAAAAGCCTCTCCAAGGAGGTAACATTTTAGCTGAAATCCGATGACCAGAAGGAACCAGCAATGACAAAATCTGAAGGGAGAACAATACAGACAATGGAAATAGCTATGGCCAATGCTCTAAGGTGGGAAAGAGCTCCACACATTCAAGAAACACTTAGAAAGCTGCAGGAGGCAGCAAAGAGGAAGGCAGTACCAGATAACAGCAAAGACAGCAAGTCATGCGACTTCACAGTCTAAGACCTAAGGAATTTGGATTTTATTTCAAGTGGAAGAGAAGCCTCAAAAGAGTTTTAAACAGGAAAATGAAGTAATACAATTTACAAATTATACAATTCCATTTTAAAAGATCACGTGGGCTTCTTTATGTGAATGTTCTAATCTGCTTTCTGCATTAAGAAAAAAAAAGAGGTAATTTGGAAAGAGCACAGAACTTCTAGAACATCCACCTATAGAAAAGTCAACCAGAGATGTATAAAAGGACCTGCCTGGAAGGAAAAGAGGGCTCAGCTTAAGTTAGATGTCATGAATAGCGTGAACTCAATTAACACAGTATGTTCACTTGCTCTGGGGACATATGGCACTCCAAAGGAGAAAAAGGAAACATTGGGAGTTCACACAGGCTGTACAGGAACAAGACAGAAATGATGAAAAGTCACTCCCACATCTATAAACTCCTATGGAGCCACAAAGAAACCAGGTTGTCCCATTTCAGAGCTCCAAAGAACCATACTGAGGGCCTGATTTCAATGCTTGCCATAATGCCTATGAGTTAACCACTGCTGTCTGCCTTTACAGTTCCTCAACACTGAATAGCTTTCCCTAAAAACCTACAAAAACTTAAAGAGAGGACAAACCAATCAGGATGTCTCAAATTTCTAATAAAGTATAGCCCAAACGTACAATTAATACTTTTGAGCACCATACATTTGACCATAACACCTCAGAATCTTCTACCTGGTACATCAGCTACCTGTCCTATGATCTTTTATATTTTATACTGCGGTGTCTTCATTTTAGTGTTGAAAAACAAAACAGCAGGAAGACTTTATACTTCACAACAAAGCTAGATCGAGAACACTACCTCCTGACGGACATGCTATTCTACAGTTTCTGTGTAGAAACATGAGCGTTCACACACAGTGCCACTTTTATAAACCAAAATTAATAAAAGACAGCAGAACTTAAGCACAAGGTTAACTGGGTCTCATACCAGAGCCACACCACACTTCAGCCAAATGGCACTCGCTCTCGCCAGGTTCTTTGCACAGGTCTACCACATCTCTGCATATTGTTTCTGGAGTGACGGGAACTTCGGTGAAGTGCTCTTCATTGTTACTGAGGTACACAGTAAGAAACATCTGAAAATTAAAAGAGAAACAAAACAGTTACCAGTACCAGCTGCATTAGTAGTTTTCACCTTAGTCCTTCCTCCAAACAAAATCTCCGCTGGAAGTGCAGATGTACAACTGAACAGTCCGGCTGTCCTGAGGTTGAGGTGGGGAGGGAGCGACCTGGAGCCCAGCCAACTGGATCCCTGCCCCCTCCACAGGCAGTACCTGCAAAACCCTTGGAGACCCTGGAGCAGAGTCAAACCAGTTCACGCAAAAGTTCAAAATAAATCTTTTTCTGCCAGTTTTATTCATGTTGTTTACCAAATACTTATATAGTTCTTACTATGCACCAGACCCATACTACAAATAAATCCTCATATCAACCCTGTAAGGGTTGACTAGAGGATTTCATACATATATACTGATTTACACACAGCCTCTTTTTGGAAGGATACGTAAGAACATAACATGCTGCTTCTAAAGGGGGGAGGGATGAGAAATAGAGCTTGGGGGGAAATCTAACCTTTATACCATGTGCATAAATTACCTATTCAAAAACTTGTACCTTTAAACCTAAAATGTTTTAACCAAATTAAATACCTACTTTAAAGTATAAGATTTCCTTAACGAGGTGTAAGTAGAAATGATTAGCTATTATGCTAAAACTTACCTGATCTTGCATGTAAGCATTCAGGCCAATAGAAGATTTAAATTTAAAACTCATTAACAATTTTTCTCCTGGTAAAAATAGACACTGTATCTTAAAAACATTGCTACTAAAGAATTCAAGTTTTCACACCTATTAAATTCCCAACATTGAAGAAACTAAGTGAAACAGCAAACACGTTTTTGATGGGGATGCAAACTAGTAAACCCCTACAAGTATATTCATTCAATTCAGTTCCAAGCAAATCAGCAAGTATCAGGATTTTTTAAATAATAATAATTTGAAAGAGTTATCCCACTACGATAATTTATGCTGTGAAAATAGTTCTAATCAAAGAAAGAGAATGCAAAGTCTATAGAACATAAACTTGATGGACCAGTATACAGTCTTTCAAAGTAATTAATGAGTGTGCTGAACACAGGGAAGCCTGGATTTTAAGACTACAAAAAAGGCAGAATAAGTAGACTGCACTATGATCACACTGACACATAGTCTTTCAAAGTAATTAATGAGTGTGCTGAACACAGGGAAGTCTGGATTTTAAGACTACAAAAAAGGCAGAATAAGTAGACTGCACTATGATCACACTGACACAGAATATCACACAGCAGTCACAGAGCCTGCTAACAGTCATACAAACTCCCCCTTCCCTCCGCTGCATTAGGCTGTTCTTGTGAAAAGTCGGCACCTGATTAGAGATGAAGATGAAAACTGGCTAAGACATCAGACTGGGTAACTCAAGATTTGGTCAGAATAAGAGGAGTAATGCAGAAAAGAAAAAGGAGGCCCTAGGGGCTTTGTAGCTACTCCTTGCATTAAAACCATGTAGCTTAAACTCCGCTGCATTAGGCTGTTCTTGTGAAAAGTTGGCACCTGATTAGAGATGAAGATGAAAACTGGCTAAGACATCAGACTGGGTAGCTCAAGATTTGGTCAGAATAAGAGGAGTGATGCAGAAAAGAAAAAGGAGGCCCTAGGGGCTTTGTAGCTACTCCTTGCATTAAAACCATGTTTTCTTAGGGCAGTCTAAGTCTCTACCTTTTGCAACAAAAGCTGTTAACTCACATAAATATGTATAACAGAAGGTAATCCGGAAAAATTAAAATAGTAGATACTGTTGAAACAATTTTAGAAATATGGGGGAAAAAAACCCTGTAGTTTCTCAATAGAAGCTCAGAAGTTTTCAAGTTAATTATCTCAGGTTTTTTTACATTTTGAAAAACTATACTACACAAAGAAATATAGTTCTAGGCCTCAGCTTAGTCAACAAACTGTCAGACAAAAAATCATAAAGCCTTTACAAAATCACTTGATAAAAATAACAAAGATTAATTAAGCTTACAGAATTCCTCACTGCTACTGCTTTGGTCAAAATATACAGCATATTTAATGATGGAGACAAATAATTTACACTTCAGTATTAGGAGTGGCTGCTTAGCTCAGTTGGTTAGAGTACAGTGCTGACAGCACCAAGGTCTCGGCTTCGATCCCTGTACCAGCCAGCCAAGGAAATAAAATAAAATAGTAGTTCTCCATACTCCCACTCACACCAAAACTTTCTTTGAAGTTTATCACTTCAAAAATAGTAACTCTTTTCACTGTAAATATGCAACTTAGAAGTGTTTATTAAATTACAGAAACATTTGATATAGAGAATATATCCTAAACACACACTGCATTAACAAATAAAAAGCTATTAGGTAAGATAATAGCACCTTACCGTTGTATACTTCATCTTTCAGAGTACTTTCACACACATTATCTCAAACCCACATCAACTCTCAGATAAACAGAGCAGGTCCTATTTTCTCTTCATAAATGAAGAAAAAGTCTCAGAGAAGTGATCTGTGTGAGTACAATTCTGTCCTGATGCACCCTCTCCACTTCACACTGTCCCTTACAGCAGGAAATCATTAGGAAATGCTCCATTTAGCCACAGCAACCCAAATTTTAATAGAGATCTGGTCTTTTACTTTCTGGAAAACCAACAGCTTCATTTATTTGAAAGTGTAATTACAAATAAGAATAATGGGAGATGTGTTCTATTTAAGGCTACTTTCCCACAGCATTAACACTGATATGAATGGTAAGTGCATGAGCTGATCCCACTTCTACCTTTCATGTGTGAAGATTAGCTCTGTGGTGATTTCAGTAACTGTACTAAAGTCCTCGACGCTAGGCCAGCAACATGACGTTTCTGTGGATTCTCAGGCACATCTAGTTCAAACCCCAGATCTGTTTGTAATTAGACTACCTTAGAGAAGTGATGTCACCTCTCTGAACCTCAACCTTTTTATCTTCAAAATGAGAGTCTTTTAAGTTCCCTAAGAGCTACTATTTAGTGTTTGCTAAATAGTAACCAGAGTAAAAGCCAACATTTTACAACAACCTACAAGGTCCCACACGATCTGCCCACAGCAACACCTGCCTGCCATGACCTTTCCCACCCTCACTTCCTTCTAACCCCCCCAACCCCAGCTCTGCCAGTGTCCTCCTTACTGCCCCTCAGACGTGCCAGGCTCATTCCACCTCAAAGCCCTTACACCTGCTGTGCCTCTGCCTGCAACGCTGCTCTCCACATGCCAGTACAGTGTGCTTCCTCACCCCCTCCATGCCTTTACTCCAACGTCACCCTCTGAAGCCTTCCTGGGCCACCACACCTAAAATTTTAATACACACACACACACACCCACTTCATTACCCTGCTTTATTTCTCTTCTTGGCATGGTCACTAACATACCATATATTATGTTTACTTAACTACGTTTTATTAACTGCTTTCCCTACTAGAATGTAAGTCTACACAGTCAAGGGCTTTGTCTTTGTTCAGTGTTGTATCCTCACCACCCAGAACAGTGCCTGTTATGTAACAAGCACACAATAAGTATTAAATCTTGGAGATGTTATTGCATTTTACAGATGAAGACACTGAAGCACACTGAGATCAAGTAACTTGCCCAAGTCACACAGCTACTAAAAGGCAAGGACAAGATCCAGGCCCAAGCCTCTCTCTTTTTTTTTTTTTCCTTTTTTTTTTGTCTTTTTTACTGACCGGTAACGGGATCGCAACCCTCGGTGTCGCGCCTGCTCCGCGCTCAGCCAGTGAGCGGGAACCGGTCTCTACATGGGATCCGAACCCTCGGCGGGAGCGCCATAACCCAAGTGGTTGAGAGCTCCACAGCCACTCCATTACCTTCCCAACTCCTTCCTCGATGCATACAGGTAAAGACTCTCCTGAATCCAGACTACACCTTGCCAAGTGTGTCACTGCCTCTAGTTCTTCCTTTTAGAGTAAAATCTGTGCCCACAATACACCATCTTACCTCTGATTTATTTTCACAGAAGTTTTCTTTCAGGTCTTGCTAAATGGTATGGTGTGTTCCCTCATTTCTTCAGCTCACACGCTGTAACAGACACCCTGTTTCTTTTTCAACATTCTTTTCATTCACTTCAAACTTATAGATCATCTACTGTATTGTATGGTCTGTATTCTAATGTAGCTTTACTAAATGGCTAACACAGCATACAAAATTCTAAGAGAGACGCAGCCAGTCCAGCGAGCCCACAGGGAGGTGCCAGAGGAACAAATACCGCCACCTGGCTCCCTCCCTCTTGCATCTTCCCACTGCTCCCACTGGAGAAACCCAACAAGGAGCCAGACAGCAAGGGAAGCCACAGACGCCATTTACAGAAGTCCACCTCCTGCACACAACGTGGGGTGAAGGAACCTGGAGAGTGAATCTGGAAGGGGCAAACAAAGGATGCCCAGTCCAAGAAACTTCCCCTGCATACTCGAACTCAGTGACCTCAGCATCTGTGCAGTCAGGGGCTCTTGAACACCATCTAAGTGAAAAGAGGACACAAGCCCAGCCAAAGCTGGGAGAAGAACGAAGGTTGAATGCAAACACCCTGAGGAGTGAGCAAGTTTGTCACATCTGCAGAAGAGGAAGGTCACTGCAGAGGGAGCAAGAAGAAAGGATTATAAGAGATTAATTCAATGAAGCAAGTGGAAGCCAGATCATACAAGTCTTTATAGACCAGAGGTTCTCAAACTTTGGCAAAAACAGAGGCTTGTTAAACTCAGATTGCTGGGCCCCACCCTAAGTGTGTCTGACTCAGTAGATCTGGGATGGGACTGAGAATTCTGCATTTCTAACAAGCTCCCAGGTGATGATGATACTGCCAGTCCAGAAACCATGCACTGAGAACCACTGTCTAAAGCCAAAGCAAGGAACCTGGACTTTAATCTAAGAGGCCCACTGACAGCAAATCATTAGAGACAGAAAGCAGATGAATGGTTGCCAGGGGCTGCGGAGAAGTGAAATGGGGAGTGACTGCTGATGGGGACAGGGCAACTGTGTGGAGTGATGAAAATGTTCTAGAATTAGTGATGATGGTTGCACAATCTTGTGGATATACTAAAAACCACTGAATTATGCATACTTCAAACTGATGAATTTTATGGTACATGTATTACATTTCCATTTTTAAAAAGAAGAGGTCATTGGAGGATGTAACAGCGTAGTGGAGTGATTTATGTTGTTTAAAAAATCACTCTGGCTACTATGTGAATAGATTACAGGAGGACAGGCATGGAAGACCAATTAAGAGGTAAATACAACACACAATACAAGATATGATGGAAGCACAGCTTGCAGGTAACAGCAAAAGTAGTGGAAAATGGCTGGACTTGGGTTATATTTGAAGATAAAGCCAACGAGACTTGCATGTTGGACATGATGTGGGATGTGAAAGTAGAGAAAAATTATAAGTGAAACTGGATTTGTTGCCTAAGCAAATGGGTAAAAAGTGGTACAATTTACTGAGAGGAAGAGAAAGGAGGACCAGATTGGAGAAGGGCCCCCAGGACAGGGCCTCTACACTAAGTATGAGATAGCCGTGGGACACTCAATGGAGACATAAGGAGGCTGTCTAACATACAAGTATGACTGAGATGATAAAATTAAGAGATGAGCACGTAGACGCATTTAAAGCCATAATAAGACACGATGAGA